GGAGCCTGACCCTGTGTCCCCGCAGCTAGCCGACAGCGAGTTCTCCCCCGTCTTTCGCCTCCTGACCATCTTCGCCTACGGCACCTACGCGGACTACCTGGGTGAGGCCGGGCCCTGGGGCGGCGAGGGCGCTAGGTGGTTCAGGGGCCCCTCTCCCCTCCCGGTGATGCTGGTCCCTCGGTGCAGAAAATGTCCCGGAGCCCCGGCCCCCTTGCAGACCCTTACCCAAACTGCCCGCCTTTGCGGCAAGAGCCGTGCCTACAGTGCTACAGCCCGACGGATGCCTGATTGCAGTTTGGGCCCGAGGCTGCTGGAGTACCTGACAATAATTAATGCTGCCATTTGCCAGCTGCATGGGGAATTTCCAAAAACATCTTGGCAGAGACATTTTTGAGGGGTGAGGGGAAAGACTTAAGTATCCGCTGGGATGTGCAGACCTTCATAAATAAGGCATGGGACAGCTAGAGAGGATGACTTGAGGCTGAGGGGAGGAAAAGCTGCTCAGAAAAGGTATTTTGAGCTGAGAATTAATGGGGATGACTTGACAAGACGAAGCACCGCTTGGGGGATTGGTGTGCAGACGCTGTAAGAAACAGGTATGGTGCAGATGCTTTTGTGCAGGGCTGGGAAATGGAAAATGAGGCATAAATTCTTATACCCTGTTCTTTTCCCTGACAACAGCTGAAGCAGCAAACCTCCCTCCCTTGACAGAGGCTCAGAAGAACAAGCTAAGGCACCTGTCAGTCGTCACTCTGGCTGCCAAGATCAAGGTAGTGGCCCTATTTTTCCCCGAGTTCTCCTTCCAATGGGATTCCCTCATGCTAGTTACCATCATGTTTCCACAGTGCATCCCCTATTCAGTGCTGCTGGAGCAGTTACAGCTGAAGAACGTCCGTCAACTGGAGGACCTCGTGATTGAGGCTGTGTACGCAGATGTGCTGCGAGGGAGCTTGGATCAGCGGAACCAGCGCCTGGAGGTGGATTACAGCATTGGGAGGGACATCCGGAGGGAGGAGCTAAGCACCATCACCCGCACATTGCAGGAGTGGTGAGGAGGAAGCCCCCAATACTAACACCCAAAAAAGGTTGCAGGAGTGGCCGGTGGCTTCCCCGGATCCTCTGTGTGTCACTGCGGGATAGTGTTGTGAGGTGGCCTGCTCAATCCCCTTTCCTGTACTCCAACGGAAAGTAATTTTCCAAAAGTAATTTTCCAAATTCCCCTGTTTGTTGCTGGGGGCTGTGATGAGACCGCAGCAACCTTTGCACAATCCTGGCTGCTGACAGGAGGCTTTCTGAGTATATATCTGTAGTTCCTAACCTGGTGTCACTTTGTTACTTGTCCCCCTCCCAGGTAATAACATCACTACATTATTACGTTGGACACCTGCTCCTGTATCTTCCCTGGCTGTTGTAGCCGTCACCTTCCAGTCTTTTTGGTCTCTAGAGTTGAAATCTTGTCATCTTTCATGTTTCTTTCTATGCTGTGTAAATTACCTCGCCTGTTCAGTTCTACGTCTTCTCTCCAGGTGCCAGGGCTGCGAGGTTGTCTTGTCGGGCATCGAAGAACAGGTTAGCCGGGCCAACCAACATAAAGAGCAACAGCTGGCACTTAAGCAGCAGATAGAGAGCGAGGTGAGTGGGCTGAGGAGGGAGCAGTCAGTGTCCCTCACTGTAAAACAACTGGAATCCTTACCCTGTGGTTGTTACAGTCTTGCTTAAGTAAGGCATCACCTTTTCCCTAGGCCAGAACCCCCAGGGGGGGTGTGCCTGAACAAGAGTCCTAAATCAGCTGAACGCTCTTCTGCAGTGCAAAGATCTGGACAGCTGTTGTTTCACCTGAGCTTGCAGCTCTTAACTCCAGAACTTGCTTTTAAAAAAAAATAAAACCCACACCACCAAAACAAAACAAAAACAAAAAACAAACTAAAAAACTTGGGAAGTTCCTTTGTTCTTTTTGCTGTTGCAGGTGGCAAACCTGAAGAAGACCATTAAAGTGACGACAGCAGCCGCTGCAGCAGCCACGTCCCAAGACCCGGAACAGCACCTAACAGAGCTCAGGGAGCCGGCCCCTGGCACCAACCAGCGCCAGGCGAGCAAGAAAACTTCCAAAGCCAAAGGGTGAGGAGTGAGGGCAAACAAAGAGAGCCGCTCTGTGTGCGTCTGTGTGTGTTCAGGAGGTGAACCGAGGGGAGCCCTGTGGCAGAGCAGTGAGGTTACTGACTGCAGGCGTCTGCTCCCTGGATGTGGGATGGCCAGAGATGTAGTCCCAGCTGAGCTCCTCTTCTGCTAATTTGGGGGAAGATGTCTGCAACTCTTGATCCGAAGCACAATTCATAAGCTTGCTTTGTGTTCTGTTGTGAAGAATGTCAGCCGCTCTTCTTTGCCTGTATTTAGAAAAGGAAGTCAGGGATGGGCCTTAGTGTCCATTCTGATTTATTTATTTTTTTTCTCCCCCCTCTCCTCTCCACAGGCTCCGGGGCAGCGCGAAGATTTGGTCTAAATCAAACTAGTTGGATCTCCCTTCGCAACTGGGAGGGTGAGAGGAAGAGATTTGGGGGATGGAAGGGTAGCAAGGGTCCCAAGTGTGATGCTTTTCTCCAAGACCCATCTTGTCAACTAGTTCTCCTGCATGTTTGTTCTCTTTCCTGTCTTCTTTACTGACTTTCCAGGCAATGCCTCCCTCCTCTTCATCACAACGTTTCACATACTCTAAGCTTCCAGTCATATGTGTTGCTGTTTC